AGATAAAAGGAAAGCCAGAATCTTGGTACTTTGGGGGGGGGGGGTCTCATCGGTTGTCTTTTCTTTGCTGACAGGAACTTGGTCTGGGTACTGCTTACTTTCTGGTAATACACCTCTACCTAGCCCCACCTAAAAGCACTTGGAGGGCACCAGGAAAGGTGTTGGCAGGTGTCATTGTGCCCATGGGCAGTGCATTGGGGACCACTATAACAAACATTTGCAAATACATGACGTCATCCACACAGGAAAATTGTGCTGTGAATGATTGCTATAGTGTAGTAAGTCAATAGTATAGCCTGTGTCCTGTTCTTCTTTGAGATGCTAAGGTCTTTTTAAAAGTGAACATGAGTCTAATCAGCTACATTGTTCCTGACATAACAGCAAATCCAGAGGAGGCACTTTATTTTCCTGAACATTTGTCCAAGATGTAGAGGGGCACAAACAGCTGCTTGAGCACATTGGTCTCCTGCTCAGCCTGTCAACTTGTATGTTGCAAATAATCTTCATCAGGACTAGCTACCTGGTCAACTAAGTGTCATCAAAACTCTGTTAGCTGCTATGTCAAGCAAAGTCTTTTGGTATGGAAACAAGGACGGAGCAAGACTTATGTACTTACCCTGTGAAGCTCTGGGCTGATGGTTTTCAAAAGAGGTGATACTATAGTTGCTATTGTTTTTATTATTATTATTATTATTAGAAGAAGAAGAATTTGTTAGTGTAACACATACGTAGAGTCATCTCATTTACTTCAGTGGATTTTCATAAAATGGTTTTAGGATCAAGAAGCCGGTTAGTCGCAGTGTATTTCTGAAAGAGATGGGAAATTTGAGGCTGGATAACATAGCCATTGTGTTCATGGCCAGTGACTTTCTTCTGCCTACATTTCAAAATGATTGTTATGAGTGTACTCTGAATCTTGCTCCTTAAATGAATCTTCATTTTGATTGTGAGCTTGCTGTGACATGCATATGTGCTGGTAGCCCTCTTTAGATACCTTACACACCATGCGGGCAATGGAGTCTGTGCAGGAAATAGTGATTGACTGTCTGCTGGGGGGCTGTATACATTGGCTCCTATTAAATGTAATGTAATGACATAACTGCACAGAGCTTGAAACACTTGAAGTGGATAGCTGACTCAGCTTTCCTTGCTTTGCTGACTTCCCTCATGTGATCTGCAGAATTATTTCACAATGAGCCACCTCGGTCTCTGAAGTCCTCATGACTTGTGTGAAACTGCAATGTTGCAATTTTAGAAGTGGACAGACTCTAAAGTATAAAGGAAGTCTCCCTCTCTCTGTGTGTGTCTGACACATTCTGTGGCTGTAACTCATTGAAATCTAGATCTAAATCTCCTTTTTTTTTAATCATGTCTTCTAGATTTTCCAGCCATACCATTCTGATCAGAAAATGTCATTGGGTCTTGAAACCCTCTTTGAGTACATTGATAAACACCAGGACATCTATGTGGAGGTAAGTGACCTCGACCTCACTGGCTTAAAGCCAGACCTCTTACTTGATGCCAGGGAATGACAGAGTGTGAAACAACAACAACTCTTGCAATGCAGTCATTGGCCTGCCTCTTCACTTATCTTGAGTGATGGCAGAGGGAGAGCTACACCATCTGTCCCGAGTGGGTGGAATTGCATCCTTATGGGCTTAGAAGCCTTTCTTTCCAAAGCCTCCCATTACTCTGAATACCTTTGCATTTTGTAATTTGCTTAGTCATGGCAGCTATAACTTTCGCTTTCAAGGCCTCCGGATCACACACTCCTTGCTTCCCTGCCCCAGGGTAAGATTTACACTGATTTCAACTTTTGTTAATGTTAGTCAACCAGGGTTTGAATCCCAGTTAAAAAGCTGAGAACATAAAGGCTGTGTACCAGCCCCAAGCGACACTTGAGTGGACTGTGTTTAGTGCTTCTGTTCCTTGCAGAGTGGGGTGGAAGCCCTAGCTGGGATCAGAACATTCCAGTCGACTTAGACTGGAGTGATTCTGCAATAGACTTGCACTAGTCTAAAAGTATCCTAAGAACCAGCACTGGATGCCTAAAACTGCACTGTAAGGCAACATTCATACTAACCAACTGCAGAGGGTCTAAAACAGTCAGAAAATTTAAGAGCTCTTGGCCTGACCCTTGGTGCCAAGTCAGCCCTCTGTGAGAAAGGGATTCCAGACCAGCTTGCCTATTCTCTATTTTCAAAGTATTGTTTTGTATGGGGTAGTGTTCAGTCCTGTTAGCCCTGTCCTGCCACATAAAGTGGTACAGCCCAAATAAAGATTTATTGCTTCAGTAAGAACTAGTAGTGCATGTAGAACTTGGAAACAGTAGCAGGAATCCGGAACTACTACTTAATGGCCTGCCTAGCAGCATTAGTCATGTCACAGCAACAAAGATGTATATTTGAGAATTGCATTTTCTGGGTTAGAAAGCTGCTTGGTAGAGGTGTAGGATCTAGCTATGCCTGTAGGTAGAATTTACACAGTGTTTGGTCTTTCCTGTTGGAAACCTGAGGTTTTAAACAGTATCTGTCCACAGCTGAACTTTCATATTGAGAGTTTTCATGCATGTGAGTTGCATTGACTAGAGACAGCTTGCGAGTGGCCAGGCGACACAGAAGTGGTGAGAACTCGGGGGGCTCAGAAATAAGTGCCGAATTCCCCAAAGGAGGCTCTGAGTGGTCTCTGCTGTGGTTCAAACAATAGCAAACCAAAGGGAGAAATCACAGGATGGAAGTTGAAAAGAAGCAAACAACCATGATGTATAGTGCCAAAAAAAAAAGAGTTCTTCACCAACTTGTGAATTCTTTTATCAGTATTCAGCTTACTGGAAGCAATTCAAATGCCATCAACACCAATGAACCATGCATATTACATCTTGTTTCGTGTATAGCTTTATCAAAGTGGGTAGCGTTGAAACACCTATATATAGTTAATCCATCTGGCAAACACTCTAGTCATATCTCACAGTCGCATTAATCAAATCCATTCGTGTGATGTGTTCAAACAATAGCAAACTGAGAGCAGAGCATTTGAGCGGACGGTAGCTCTCTAGTGACAGATTTCACCCTGATCTAAAATCCTGTTGGTGTTTAAAGGGAACCACTGGACTAGAACATAATGAGTTGTATCTTACAACGTGTGAGCAGAGGTTGGATCTTTCTTGCCTCTCCTGTTTTCCCTGCATCCCCGAGACTACTGGAAAATGATGTTGGGAAACTTTGGAGCCATGGACAAAATAGCACAAAAGGGTTGCAGTGAAGAGGGGAAAATTGGGCAACTTAACATCTTGCCTCCGTCTTGGAGCCAACAGAGCATCTTCTGTCCACAGAAACTCAGTTGGTAGAAGAGCTGGTAGGGGAGTTGCCTTATTTCCTCTTCCTCCCTGTTGTACCCCATGGCTCATGTCTTCTTGTCCATAAAACCCCCAGCACCAGCTTTCAGAAAGTTTTTGGGGAGTTGCTGGAGTGGAAGGTGAGAGGCAGGAAAGATGGTATTTTTAGTAGGATTAAATCCAGTGAAACCCCTCAAGCGTACATACTAAGCCAAAAGGAGCTTTTAGTTTTCCCTGAGGAATATTTGAAACGGTTATCTAGCAGTATCTCTTTTTAAAACAGGTATAGTATTGGGGCTAAGAAAATAAGCTGTGATCTAGGAGATTTCCCAGTTCAAATCTCACCTCTGCAATAACCTCCCTAGATGGCTTTTAGCAAGCCAATAGCCCCTGTTCTGCAACATGTGGTCATGTTGGTGTATGTAAATTTTAAAGTGCTATATAAATGTTCACTAATGATGCCTCCCAGCTGTGCAAGATGAAGTGTGTTTTCTTTTTTCTCTCCCTGCCCCATTCTTGCCTAAATTGCTTGCATTTAGCGACTGGCCAAGTGGGTGGCAATTCAGAGCGTATCGGCATGGCCCGAAAAGAGAGGAGAAATCCGACAGATGATGGAAGTTGCAGCCAAAGATATTGAACGTTTGGGTGGCACAACAGAGTTGATAGACATTGGGAAACAGAAGGTAGGAAGAGCTTGATGAAAGCAGTATCTGGAGAACTAGGGAACGATCTGAGCAGCATAGAGATACCTGTGTTAAATCGAAGTCATTCATTCAGCCTCTTCTTTTTCAAACCTGGTTTGGAGAATTACCAGAGTCCTACTATGACCTCTTACTGGCCATTAGCACCTGGTTGATATGCAGTTTGTATGATCAAATCATACGAGTAGTTCCTGTAAACACTGGCTGTGGAGGTACCGAACACTAAGCTTGCCTTCCCCATAGCCTGACTGCTGGCGAGTCTGTTCACTGTTCTCTCTCTGAGATAGCTGGGGGAAGAATGGGAGATGAGTGAACAAGGCAAAGGGAGAATCTCTTTTCCTGCTCTCTTTCCTCATCTCTGGTTTCCTGCAAGAAGCTGTTACCTCCTGGGGATGGGTGAGTGGGTGCATGAGAGAGAATTCTTTCTTTTGCATGGACTGTTAGCCGAATTGCTTTATTTACAGCAATTGGCAATTTATTAACTGGTTCTTGCCAACTATACCAAGGTCCTGTTCCCACCAAGGGTTACCAGAGAAGGAGTCGAGGCTGGTGTGGTTAAAATAGATGTCTTTTACTTAAGAAAATCTCATACAAACAATACTGATGCACTCACACGTTCAATCAAGTTCCTTAGAAATACAGTTGCATTAGCAGGTAGGGTGATGATGGGTGATACTTATCTGTCTTCGCAGCTTGGTTGTTCCAATGAAGAATAGAGGGGAAGAAATGGAAAACTAAGGAAATTCACACACGACCAGAACTTAGCAGGACTGTGTGGGGGTCTCTTGACTGCAGATCAAGAGATCAAAGTAGAGGCAGGGTTTGGGGATAGCAAGCTGGACAAAAGGGGAGTATAAAGCAGACAGGGGTTGTTGCGGGGGATGCTAGCTAGTTGATCAAGTAAGAGAGAGAGAGACCATGTGACTGGTTCTCTCCTTTTATCGGAGATGGTGTTGATGGTGCCAACCTCCTGGCCCACCTTCCTGTTAGTCCGTCCCAAAAACAATCCTATTGGTTGCCTATAGGAGTGGGAGGTTGCCTAAAGGAGTGGTCAATATTGAAATCTAATACCTTACTCAAGGAAGGACATCTGGGCAGGTGTGAAACCTTGGCATCAGGATGCTTCATTGAAGTGTTGATCAAGCTGGCCATCCTGTTGTAAACCAAATGTCCATTTGGCAGGAAATACCAATGCAGGAACAAAGCATGGATGTGTTGTACATGATCCCAACTAGATCTGCAATGGGGGCTGTCTCTTAAGTTGTTGTTTCTTACTGCTCACAATAATGGAGGTGTGTGCTCCTTCACCAGGCTGGTAACTGAAACCTTATTTACACATGTAAGGCTTGTGCAGGCACCTTCTATGTGTTGCATCACAACAGGTGACTTGGACTGTACAGTTCTCTGAGCCTGTGTGTGTGTGTGCACAGTCCATTGTGTGTAGCAATAAATATAAGCCCATAAAGCAAAATATCAAGTTCCTTCTCTAACAGGACCTCGGTCTGTTTTCCCTGTTTGTCTTTTCCATGAGTCAGGAGTGAAGACTGAGAAGAGAATTCTCTTCTGTCATGGTCCTCTGGGTCTCCCTTCTGTGAAGCACGGAGAAAAGGGCGGGAGAGATGGCGGCTGGAGGGGCAGGGTAGTTGGCTCCCATGAGGGGCTAGATTTCACCCTGGAGACTGCCAGCATTGGCCTTAGGGCAGGGATTTGGACTGTGACACACAAGAATTGCTGCAGCATTGTGATGCCTACAGAGCTGTGTAATGGATGTCTTGGGAATAGGTGCATTTCACAGATTCCATACAAATGGTACTGATCCGATCAACAAATGGTAACCCTCGGGCAGTGCTTTGCTTCCAGTTATTTGCAAACCGTCTTCTTTGCTGATCCTCTTTCCTGAAGAGACCAGCGTATGCTTCTAGATGTGATTAGGGATGCTGGAAAGCGGAAACTGGAGAGAAAGTAAGGCAGTGGACCTTTGCATGGCCTTTAGAGCCCAGAAACTGTTCAGAGGAGAAAGGAGGGAAGTGGTGGCTTGCCAACAGGCATGAAAATGGATGGGGACTGGGGCTTCTCTGAAGACTTGCCCTCTGTCCCTGCTGATGGCTAATCCAGCCACTCTTGGTACTGGAACCAGGTTCATGAAAGGGATATCTGATCTTCCTGGCTCCCTGCCTCCCCCAGCAGGCATTTCTGACCTCGAGAAAGTCCCCCCCCCCGAGGACTCACATGGAGTAATAGCCATGTGAGTTGGCAGGCCCTTGTGAGGAGGGGGAAGGAAGCAAAATCACTCCCTTCTTGCTCTGCTCACATACAAGCAAGAGTAATTTTGCCCCCTTGCTCTCATAGCATGGCCACTAACATTAGCACACTTTCCCAAAAGCAAGCAAGGAAGGCTGCCCTGTAAGGGCTCCACAACCCACCCAAGACTACTGATTTAGAGCGCAAAATAATCTTCAGTGGAATAGCACCCTGAGAACTAAAGCCAGTAAACAAGCTCTGGTAGGAAACCTTTCTGTGTACTAAATGCAAAAAGAAGGAAGCAGTACTTTTTTATTTAACATTTTATATATAAACCAACAAATTTGCACACATTCACCAAACAATAAATCAAATTATATAAAATAAACCAACTAACAGTAAGGAAGCAGTACTCTTTGATATTGTGCAACCAGTGCAGCTATCACATTACCTACCTGGTCTTAAACATGCATATTAAGTGGTTTTCATTTATATTAACTGGATCTGTTTGTCTGATGTGTACATTGCATCAACCTTTGGAATACTTGAAAGGGTAATCTAAAACATTTTTGACAGGGCTTTCTTTGTAGAAAAAGCCCAGCAGGAACTCATTAGCATAATAGGCCACACCCAACAGCAGAAACTCATTAGCATATTAGGCCACATCCTGATGTTGCAGCTCATTAGCATATTAGGCCACACCCCATGCCTGCCCTTGGCTTGCCCAGGTGCCCCACAGCCGTAGGGAGCCCGGGCAAGCCGGCCCTTGGACAAGTCGGGGAAGGCACGGGGAGGCATTTAAAGGCCTCCCTGATCCTTCCGGGGACCGCCCGCCTTGGAGTTGCTGGGGGGGGGTGTCGCTCTGCAGGCCTTCCCTCCGTAGCCATGCACACAGAGGTTTTGGCTGTAGTGGGCGTGGCCAACTGAAGCCAGCCGGAACTCCGTTCCTGTGCGTTCCTGCCCCAAAATAGCCCTGATAGTTGAAATATGAATTGTAAACCTAAGCAGTACATTAATTAGAACTGAGTTCTGAGCGGACATAATTTTTGCTGCAGATTATCACATCGTTGTCACATTTTACAACAAAAGATGTTTTTAAAAGGTGGGGAGGCTTTTTCACAATCTTCTTCCAATCCCTTTAGGGCAGTATTTCAGGGCAGAGGAGGATACTTCCCTGGAATACTACTGCAAGTCCATTCTGTGGCCTTGTTCTCCTGACAGGCCTGGATTCCAGTCTTGAGCACCACATTTCTTTACATAATTCAGTATGGGTAAATTGCTGCATGCTTATACACAGTGGCTGGATATGTTTGTACATGTGTCTTCAGTAGTATAAGAAAATATGTTAGGCGTAGAGTGCTGGGAAGAGCTAAGCAGATGGGGGGGGTAGCAAACCATGTGGTCCATCAGGTCCTAGTAGTTAATGTAGTGGCTTTTTGAAATGCACCTCTTAGGCATACAGGTTTTTAGACATTTGTAATGGAACTTACTGTGCTGGTAAGGGAAACTTCCTGGACCACATCACTTAACTTGGCATCTCTAATTCCAGCTACCAGACGGTTCGGAGCTTCCTTTACCTCCTATAATTCTAGGCAAACTCGGCTCTAATCCTAACAAGAAAACGGTTTGTGTTTATGGACACCTGGATGTTCAGCCCGCAGCACAAGAGGATGGCTGGGACAGCGAGCCTTTTACCCTGGTAGAAAGAGATGGTAAGATATCCGAGACACCATTCAATATCCAGATTGTCTCTGAATGTCTAACTTCAGAGAGCAAGGCCATACCTTTCCTCTAATGAGACCAGGATGCTTTGTTCCTTGGGAACTGATAAAACATCTCTTGCTGTTTCTTTAATTTCCTGTTTCTTCCTTCTGGCTATCCAGGCTATATTCCAAACTGTCACTTTTCTTTGTCATTGAAATGTCTTTTGGCCATCAATTTGGACAATAATCTTCAGCTGCAGACTGCCAGAACACTTGTAAATAAGCCTTCTTAGTGCATTTTTAAGCCAGCCCCTTTAATCAGGTATTTTGATCAGACCTGCAGCCCAAATGTGTCCTCCCCCTCCCCAGATCAAATGGAGACTATTTGTTTTAATCACAACTGCTGGTTTCAGCACTACCAAAGGGCTGAAGATACCATGGCTCCACCCCCCGCTGCCTCAGCATCTCTTTGGGCATGATTTTCCATTTTGTTCATTACAGTAACAGATAACCTTATACTCTTAAATCGAAGGCTGATGACTAAGCTAATGCCTGCATCGCCGAACTGGCATTAAAGCAGCTGTAGCATGCTGCAACTTGATAGCCAAGGTTCCTAGTTATTAAGAAGAAGAAGAAGAAGAAAAGATCTCAGAGCGGCTTACAAACTCCTTTCCCTTCCCCTCCCCACAACAGCCACCCTGTGAGGTAGGTGGGGCTGAGAGAGCTCTGACAGAAACTGCTCTTTTTCAAGAACAGCTCTTATCAGAACTACGGCTTGCCCAAGGTAATCCAGCCAGGTGCAAGTGGAGGAGTGGGGAATCAAGCCCGGTTTCCCCAGATTAGAGTCTGCACACTTAACCACTACACCAAACTGTTAAGCAATAACAGATTTCCTTGTAATTGAAAGTGTGCTTTGAAAGTGAACCAGGCACGCCTTTTGAATGCTGCTTTCCCTTGGCTGCGTTAATGATCAGTGCCCTCTGCATGTAACTTCAGATGTACACCTAGCTAAGTGTCATGCTGAAGGAAGAAGAACTTACCTGTGCAGAGTTTCATGTGTGTCTCATCTCTAGCTTCACATGCCATGCAAGGGATAGAATAATGCCTTGGTGCTGGTGGTGTGCTGACACTGCAGAGGTTTCAGCTGAGGGCCCAGTTGGCATGCCAGTGTGCAACCCAGCTATGCTTTCCTTCTTTGCCACGGTGACTTGGGAACTGCAAGTGAGTCAACAAGTTGTTGGGTGTATGCAGTCCTACATGGGTGAGTTAGTCCTGCTTGCCTGGTATCTCACTTGAATTGGGCCTGAAACCTGAAATTCCTGCTTTAGTGGGCATACCCAGGAAACAATTGCCCAGGTTCCAGTATTGCAAAATCAAGGCATGGGAAGTGCTCTGTGGTAAGGCAACACCAGTTTCTTCACAAATGTGCCACCAAGCGGGTCTTGAAAACTATCAACTTCTGTCAATCCTACAGGTTTTTTGGCTGTATAGACTGGTACCATGTTGTGCCTGTTGCTGTGATCTGAAAGACTGATATGAGGCATCACATTCCCCCAGAGGTCTGTGGTTGCGTTCTTGATGGAAGGGAAGGGTGGCTTATAGGATGCTTTCTCAAAGGCCTGCTTCATCTGTGTGTTGCCAGCTGGTGACATGCAGCAACTTCACCGACTAACATTGTGTATGAACTGGCGCAAAGCTGGTGTTCACGTTCCTTGGACATTGAATTTCCAGGGAAGAGATGCCCCTGCCCCCTTTCTCACTGCTTCTGTTTGTGCTTCTGTTTCTGTTAGGGAAGTTGTATGGCCGAGGGTCAACAGATGACAAAGGTCCAGTGCTTGCCTGGCTGAATGCCTTGGAGGCTTATCAACAAACTAAACAGGTATATCGCGCTTCTGTTAAACTTGCTGTCTTTGTAAAAGATTAAATGCTAGACCTTGACACTAAGCCATTGTGTGTCTTGTTGAAGATAAAGATTAAACCTGCTCACTTTGCTAATTCAACCCAGAAGAATCCATTATGAGGCAACCTCCTGAAAGTCAGATGAACACACGAGGCTGCCTTGTACTGAATCAAACCTTCAGGTTCTTCAAGGAGGTCAGTGTTTGTCTGCTCTCACTGGGAGCGGCTCTTAAGGATCAAAGGTGGCGGTCTCTGACATCACCTACTATCTGATCCAGTTTGGTGTAGTGCTTAAGTGCACAGACTCTAATCTGGGAGAATCGGGTTTGTTTCCACACTCCTCCACTTGCAGCTGCTGGATGACCTTGGGCAAGCCATAGTTCTGTCAGAGCTGTCCTTGAAACAGCAGTTTCTCTCAGATTTCTCTCAGCCCCACCTACCTCACAGAGTGCCTGTTGTGGGGAGGGGAAGGGAAAGGAGTTTGTAAGCTGCTCTGAGACTCCGAGTGAAGGGTAGGGTACGAATCCAATCTCCTCCTCCTCCTCCTTGAGAGGTGAGAGATTGAGTCTGGGACCTTCTGCATGCCAAGTGGATGCTGTATGACTGAGCTGTGGCTCCTCCCATCTTGTGGTTTGCTGTGAGTGTGAGTACTTGTTCACTACGCAGAAAAGTGGTCTCCAGGACTGCAGTGAGGCTGCGCTTAGCTGGCCGGACACACAGCCTTCCTAGTCTTGCTCATGCATCTGCTGTAGTAATTACTTGACTTGGCCTTAGGATATTCCCATAAAGATGTGCCAAGCCAGACAATCGTTGAGGGGGCCTTAAATGATGCGGTCTGGTTTCAGTGTTGCACACTAAGTTGATTTAGGAAAATATTGCGTGGATGTCCTTTGTGTGTTCCGATCATTGTGCCCGGTGCTTGAGAACCTGCATGATCCTTTCACTGCAGCTGCTAGGTTTTGCAGGTGGCTTGCAATATGCCAAACCAGATGGCAGAAAATACAAACTATATTTTAAAAGTGGATGACCGCAACAGAACCCATCATTAACAAAATTATACAAATGCTCTGTGAAACGTCAGTCTACGGTAGTGGCCTGAGTGCTGGATTAGGATCTTGAAGATCCAGGTTCAGATTCTCACTCTGCTTTGAGGCCTGCTCAGTGACTTTGGGCCACGCACTGTCAGCCTAATCGACATAATGTTGTTTATGGGCGAGCGTGTGTAGAATTTTCTTTACTGAAGTCAGATACAGAATGCTGACACCTGCATGTCCTTTCTGGGTAGCAGTCAAAAAAAGGCCAATTGATTTGCTAGTTTCGGATAGGAGGTATTCTTAATTAAATTGGCAAATAATAGATCAACGTGTCTTGTGTGTGACACATTATGTTCTAAATTCTCCTGTGTCATTATGGTTTGACTACTAGTAACAGTTGATGTGTTCCGTTGTTTGTATTTGCCTGTGTAGAACAGTGCCTGAGGGTTGGGCTTGGCTTTTGGAAATCTAGGTGCCAGTTCCTCTTCTGCCTTGAATTGCCTTTTCTCTGCCTGACTCATCTTGGAGTTTGTGAGGATAGTTAAGAATTATAAAGAACATTTGATCCGTAATTTGGACTGAATTTTTGTTGCCAGAAGTTGTTTGGGTTTTGTTCATTTTTGATCACGCACTTTCATTTTCTATTCTCTAGGAAATCCCAGTGAATGTAAAGTTTTGTTTAGAAGGTATGGAAGAATCCGGCTCTGAAGGCCTTGATGAACAGATATTCGCACGAAAGGACACTTTCTTCAAAGACGTGGACTATGTTTGTATCTCTGATAACTACTGGCTGGGCAAGAAGAAGCCGTGCATTACCTATGGCCTCCGAGGCATCTGCTATTATTTCATAGAGGTAAAGAGCAACAGAGTAAACATACTCAAGTATGTCTAACAAGAGTCCATTTCAGCTAAGTAATTAATGATGTTCTGAAGGGGCATCATCTGCTGGCATTCCAATTGGTTTCCCAGGTGGATGTTGACAGCGTCTTATTGGCTGTGCAACCTACTCCCTGCTCCTTGGATCCCTGCCCTTCCTGGTTGGTGAAAGCTTCCAGGGAAAGTGGTAGGAGGAGCCTTGGGAGACATTATAAATCTCTCACTCTCCCAGCTTTCCCTAGCTCCCTCAAGGAGGCAGTAGTGACACCCCTCCTGAAAAAGTCATCGGTAGATGAGAGGGACCTAGCTAATTACCATCCTGTATCTAATATTCCATTTCTGGGAAAGGTGATTGAGTGAGCAGTGGCTGAACAGCTCCAGGAATTCCTGGATGTGATATCTGTACTAGATCTCTTCCAATCCGGCTTCCTGTCAACTGCCTAGGCTCCCTAGGTGTGAGGGGGTGCGGCCTTGAGTTGGTTTTCCTCATTCCTCCACGGTTGGTCCCAGAGGGTAAACATGGGTGGAGAGAGGTCATTGCCGTGGGCCCTAACCTCTGGAGTTCTGCAGGGCTGGATTCTCTCCCCAATGTTGTTTAACATCTATATGTGCCCTCTGGCAGAGATGTCTCAGGAGATTTGGAGTGGGGTGCCATAAATATGCAGATGACACCCAGCTGTACCTCTTATTTAAGGAGCAACTGATAGTTGGAATTCTGGTCTTGGCCCTCCTGCCTGGGTGCAGTGGGGGAATGGGTTGGTGAGAGTTGGTTGAAGCTAAATCCATCTAAGACAGAGATGATGTGGCTGGGGAAGCCCAGCTCACTGGGGTGGCCACTTCAACTTACCCTTAATGGGGCCCGTGTTTTTATAGTCGACTCAATCAGGAATTTGGGAGTATGGATTAATTCTTTGCTCTCCATGGACAAATATGTGTCCTTGGTGCCAAAGACTGTGTTTTACCATCTATGCCAGGCCCCTCAAAGAAACTTACAAGCAACTAATATCTGAGATATTAACATGTAAATACAGGTGATGGCTGAATGGCCTTCGTTTGTTACCTTGCAGGTGGAATGCAGTGACAAAGACCTTCATTCAGGAGTATATGGTGGCTCCGTTCATGAAGCTATGACAGACCTGATTGCCTTAATGGGTAAGCTCTGGTCCAGCGGTTTTAGTGAAATTACCCTGAAACTGTATGAATTTATTTATAGTTCAAAGGCAAGAAAATTTAACATGACGCTCCCAAGTTTCTGATAATTATATGGATAGCCAGAGAAAAGTCAGAGATCCTTTTGCAAGATCAAAGTAAACATAAATATTCTAGCTCTTTTAATGAACAGTTAACAGAGGGGAATTTCACATTACCAGTTTTCTCCCGGTTTCAAACCGGGAGTCTTCCGTTTCCAGATGAACCGGTACAGGGCTGCCGTTTCACACACGGCTTGCCCCTACTAGAAAGGAGCCGATTCACAAGCGGTTCGGCGTTTCACACACGCACCGCTTCGTTTTCCCGCCGTTTTCTTCCTGCGCGGGCGATCGGTTTTTTTTTTTTAAAGGTTCGGCTTATAGCGATATATCGAGATATCGCTATACCAGAACCTCAAATGGTCGCAATAACGATCCCATTGGAATGCGACTCCTTAGAGGTTCCAGTATAGCGATTATGATAAATTAATTTACCGGTGTAAGCAGAAATTTAAAAAAAAAAAAAAAAAGCCCGCGCAGGCGAAAAAAGGCGGGAAACAAGCATATCGGAACCGGGAGAGGGAACGGGAGACTCCTCGGAAGCGGTTGCCAGGTAAATCGCTTCCCTCCCGGTTCCTATACGGAAGAGAGGCTTCTGTGTCTGAAATGCCACTTAGATCCCGGTAGGGAACCGATTCCTAACCGGGTACTGTCTGAAATGACAGACCACAACCCGGTTGAGAATCTGTTCCCTACCGGGACATAGCGCCTGTCTGAAATTCCCCAGGCTTTTTCTCAGTGATGGGAACAGTGCCCACAGGCCATTTGCAGTAAAGCCATTTAAAGAGAAGTGTAGCTTGTATATCTGAATGGGTGGGTAGATGCATCTAAAATTCTGTGCTCATTCAATTTCCAGTTCTTTGTCCAAGTGGAGCTAGTGAACTTCTGTTCCTCCATTTTCCCCTCCCTTTGCCACTGAAGTTTTTTTTCTCTCCCCCTCCCCCGGGGGCTTCTGCTGCCTGCAGCATATGCCTGTTTTTGTATTCTCATGGTGGCAGGCATGGCTTTTTTTGTATAAAAAGCCCAGCAGGAACTCATTAGCATAATAGGCCACACCCCTGATAGTGCAGCTAATTAGCCTATTAGGCCACACCCCCATGCCTTCCCTTGGCTTGCCCGGGTGCCCTGGGGCTGCAGGGAGCCCGGGCAAGCCCCCCCTTGAAGGAAAGGGAGTTTAAACTGCCTTCCCTTGGCTTGTCCGGGTGCCCCACGGCTGCAGGGAGACCAGGCAAGCTGGCCCTCCCCAATCATTCCAAGGCCCGCCTGCCTTGAAGTTGCTGGGGGGGTCACTCTCCAGGCCTTCCCTCTGTAGCCACGCACACAGAGGTTTTGGCTGTAGTGGCCGTGGCCAACTCTGAAGCCAGCCGGAACGCCGTTCCTGTGCGTTCCTGTCCAAAAATAGCCCTGTTACGTTCAGGTTTTTTCCCCATGAGCAGCTAGGGCAGGGGTCTGCTAGGTGCAATAGATCGCCTGCCCCACTCTGTAACCCCATATTACATAGATATGGGCAAGGGCCAGTTCCAGGTTTTTCCCTTGGGGAAGAGGGGCTTAGCCACTAGTGGGCCTAACTTTCACTAGCAGTGAGACATCCTTCCTATCCTCCACACAGATACAAAAGCAAGTGGTGGCAGGGCTTTTACTGGGTGGTGATCGGTGGGTAGCAGTAGCTGATGCAGAAGGAGCGGGTGGCAGCGGCTGCTTCTACGCTGGCTCAACACCTCCTTGGATGGGGAGGGAAAGAATGAGCTGTGACAAGAAGCATCACCTGTTGCCATTGTCTGCTTTCTGCCAATGTGCGGCAGACCAGTTGGGGTAGTGGGGAATTAGTAGGCTGAAACGACTATTCCTCCTCCTCAGCAGCAGCCGATTGGGGATTGGTGGTGGGCCTTTAAGTGTTGCAGAGCCCTCAGCAGCTGCCTGAGGATGTTGGCCCTGTGTATTTGTTTTGAGTTTCTTTTCCCAGTGTTGCTCTTAAGCACAATGGATTGAATGGGCGCATATAGTCTGCTTTGGGACCCAAGAGTATGCCGACTTTTCATGGCTGTACACTGCTTTTGTGCTAGAAAAACTGTGCGACAGGTTAGGCCTTGACCTGAAATTAGAACTTAAGAGAAGCCATGTTGGGTCAGGCCAGTGGCCCATCCAGTCCAACACTCTGTGTCATACAGCAGCCAAAACCCAGGTGCCACCAGGAGGTCCACCAGTAGGGCCAGAACTCCAGAAGCTGTCCCACTGTTGTCCCCCAAGGACCAAAAATACAAAGCATTACTGCCCTAGACATAGGTTCCATCTATACATTGCGGCTAATAGCCACTGATGGACCTCTGCTCCATATGTTCATCCAATCCCCGCTTGAAGCTGTCTATGCTTATTGCTGCCACCAGTTCCTGCAGCAGTGAATTCTGCGTGTTAATTACTCTTTGGGTAAATAAGTACTTCCTTTTATCTGTTCTAAGCCTACAGTTCATTAATTTCATTGAGTACCCATAATTTCTGGTATTGTAAGAAAGGGAGAAAAGTAGTTATTTCTATATCTTCTCTATCCCATGCATAATCTTATAAGCCTCTGTCATGTCACCTCTCAATTGTTGTTTCTCCAAGCTTAAAAGCCTTAACCTTTTTAACTTTCTTCATAGGGAAGGTGTTCCATCATCCCCTTAATCATTTTAGCTTCCCTTTTCTGTACCTTTTCCAATGCTGTCATATCTTTTTTGAGGTGTGGTGACCAGAACTGCACACAGTACTCCAAACAAAGCCACACCATAGATTTATACAGGGGCATGATGATTCTTTTCAGTCTCCTTCCTAATAATCCCCAGCATAGCACTTGCCTCTTTTATTGCGGTTGTATACTGAGTCAGCATCTTCAGTAAGTTATCTACCATGACTCAGTTACCGCTGGTTTGGACCCCATCAACGTGTTTTTATAGTTAGGATTTTTGGCTCCAATGTGAATTACTTAGCACTTGCCCATGTAGAACCTCATTTGCCACATTGATGCCCACTCGCCCAGCCTAGACAGATCCCTCTGGAGTGCCTCACAGTCCTTCCTGGTTCTCACTACCCTGAACAACTTAGTGTTAGCCACAAACTTAGCCACTTCACTGCTTACTCCCAACTCCAAATTTCCCTATTTATGTAGATCTATGGAAAGTTTGCTACCCTTCTAGGGATCTGCTAAACTCACCTGTTCATTCCGTTGTTCCAGACACTTTGTCAGTGAAGCTGGTATCACTGGAGCTGGGACACTTTGGCACAGCACTGGAGCTGGACCTGCTACCTCACAGAGCTGGGGCCTGCTCATAAGAGCCCTAAATAAATAGCTTAGGCCAAACCTCACACCCGACTGAAGCCAATCACACTAATTGGGAGCTAACCAATAAAGGAAGATGAGTGAGTCAGCCGGTTGGTTGATTAACAACAGGACTTGCTGCAAGGGAACTGCTCTGACAAGAGCTCCTTTTCTTCCCAGGCTGCCTTTTACTTCAAGTGCATATTTAATTTCAAATGTTAATAGGCTTCTAGGCTTGGATTAAAGGGGACTCTGAGTAGCCTCAGCAGTTATGGGAGATACCTAAGTGCTTGTTAATAGGAAAAAAACACTCCTTTGAAGAATCTGAGAATTAGCTTAAGAGCTTAAACTTAGTTTAAAATTGGATCTTCTGCTTTTTTTCAACCCTAGCTACAGTTTGTTTTGTTCTTTGTTTCGTTTTTATATTACAAAAACCTGAACTTCCCTAGCCTCTGGCATGAGTACTGTAATATAGTTTAAAAGTGACATTAGAGTTTAAGTTAGCCCTGTCACCTCAGTTTTAATCCTTGTCCTTTGTTTGACCATCTATTTAACCTTTCTGGTATTGCAGTAAAACAACCTAAGAGCCTCTGAGCCCGTTTAGAACTAAAATTAGCTATACCTGTGTAGTTTGAACAAGTACAACAGCTCTAAAATTGGAACAGAATTGTTACGCCAACTGCTTTATCTACAGCAGAGGCTAACTAAATTTAACGTGAGTCCTGGCCAGCTATACCAAGGTCGTGTCTGAACCCAGAGTTCCAGTAATGGAAACCACACAGGTGTTTTTCCAAAACAAATAGTCTCTTTACTACGCAATATTAAAGTCACATACACACAAAATAATCAGTCTCTCAATTTGCATACACTCAAGTTTCCTTTAGAATTACAGAAATAGAAATAAAATAGTTTCTTATTTACTTGGAGGTAGGTAGGTAGCTATTTCGGTTCATACTTGCCCGTTCCAGAAGTCTTGTCTGTTGCAAGGGAAAATTGGAGGGTAAGGAATAGTTCTAGGGGTAGTTACTAATTCACACTGCTAGAACCAGCCAGCTAGTGTGGGGATCTCTTTGGCTGTGCATGCCAAAGAGATCCTGTAAAGACGAAGAGTTTTAAAGCAGGAAGGGGGGGGGGGTTAGTGGAAGGTGGCCAGCCAAAAGACTTGCAGCATGGTCTTTGCGTTGATGGTTAAATGGGGCTAGCCCAGCACCTAAAGCATGGTCTTTGCATTTTATAGTTGAATCTCCAGGTGGGTGGCACCTTGCCAAACTGCAATCCCACCTACTTACAAGTCCATCCCATGACCTCCCTCATTGGTGCATGTAGAAAGGGGCAGGTATTCTATGGGTTGGGCCAATATTTGAAATACTACACTCTATCTCATGGAATACCATCTGGCTAGGTGTGAAGTCTTGCCTTCCTTCATCCTCTTTGAAGTACAGATGAATCTTGGCTTTCCCAGGCCTACATGGTACCATCAAAAGGAAACTGCAGTTCAGATGCAGATCAAGTCCGTGTTCTGTGTGACATCTCGTCTCTTTAGCAATGGGGGAATTTCTCCTTCTTGGTTGTTTTTCTCTGCTCACAATGGCTAACATGTGCTTCTTCTTCCCATGGTGCTTTGAGCTGAATGTGTGCAAGCTACATTAACATAAAATGCAGGCAAGTGTTCCCTATGTGAATTCTCTCACAGTAGGTGATGCAAACAGCTTCCTTTGGCCCATGGTATACAGATGTGTGCATAGTCCATGTGTTGCGTGTGTAGCAGATATAAAACCATAAATTAGTACATTTCTCAACAGAATTAAAATTACAACTAAAATGAGCTACACTTGAGTTTGAGTAGCTACAATGCTGAGAAGTTATGAAATGTTGGTACCTAGAGGTATTTTTAAGAATTTGCCCTCATTACTATTTTAACCCTTTTTTCTTAGCCTATCGTGATAGAACTGTATATTAAAACTTGGGGGGGGTGTATATATATATATAGCAACTTACACTTTCTCCTTGCTTGCCTGCTAAACTTGCTTGTGTATTCCCTTGTTCCAGACACTTTGTCACTGGAGCTGGTCTTGCTGCCTCACAGAGTTCAAATTAAATCTGCTTTTGCTCAGCTGCTGCACTCTTGCCTGGACTGCCTTAGTGCCTTGCATATTGCTTAGTCTTAATTGTAGTCATGTGGTTCACCCTGAATCTTGCCTGAAGGGAAACCTGTCAGATTGACTTAAATGACAGTTGTGTCAAATGATTCTTGGCTCCAGGGAAAAAAAACAAAAAAACTAAAGTCATTTGCATTGTTCAAAGGCAAACTTTGAAGTTTGTCCTCACCCAGAAGATTCTCTGCAGGGGAAACTCTTTGGACTTTACCAGCAGCAATAATTTCTAATCTCTTAGAAATTAGTAACTAGAATTAGGTAACTGGGTGACTGTAGACAAAGCCTTGGAAGAACTGATGCTGCATGGATCCATCTTGTGAACAAATGGCTGTAGCAAAGGAATGGCACTGTTTGTCTGTAAGCTCATATAAAATTGTGTGAGTGTTGTTGGCTCATGGAGCAATAGACAGAGTTTGTTTAGCTCTCATTTCTATACTGGAGAAGGGAAATCAGATCTGTTATAACCAAAATTGTGCCCTAGATGGAGCTTAACAACCTATTCAGAACTTCTCAAAAATACACTGCCAAAAATGTGAAAAACCTATTGAACATTTAAAGGATGTGGAGAGGCCTCTTCTAAAGAATCCTCCCTTCATTCCCTTTGGTATAGGGCTCAGGTAGAAGCAGTGGCCAGGACACTTCTGCTGGCTTGCCAATCACACCCCTTCCTGGAACAAAAGGATTTTGACCTCCACTGTTGTGCTTGATCCAGTCACCCGCTACTGGACTCGAATCTTGTTGGAGTAGCGATGAACTTTCTGAATTGCCTAAAATGGTAGCTCAGTGATGAATAGAGTTGGTGTAGGAGGTTAGGAGTTTGGGGGTGTTCCTGGACCCCACCTTAACGATGGAGGCCCAGGTGGCGGCCACTGCCAGAGCTACCTTTTATCATCTTCGGCTGGTGCGGCAGTTGGTCCCCTTCCTTAGCCGCGGCGATCTGGCCACAGTGATCCATGCGACAGTCTCCTCGAGGCTAGACTACTGTAACGCTCTCTACATGGGGCTGCCTTTGTCACTAATTCGGAGGCTGCAACTGGTGCAGAATGCGGCGGCCAGGTTGTTGGTGGGTGTCCCTAAATGGGAACACATCCAACCTGTGCTGAAGATGCTGTACTGGCTGCCTATAGCATACCGGATTCGCTTCAAAGTGCTGGTGCTTACCTTTAAAGCCCTACATGGCCAGGATCCGGCATACCTGAGGGACCGCCTTTCCCCATATAAGCCCCAAAGAGCACTTCAGTCGGGGTCACAACACCGCCTAGTGGCCCCGGGCCCTAAAGAGGCCAGGCTAGCTACCACGAGGGCCAGGTCCTTTTCGGTGGCGGATCCTACCTGGTGGAATGAGCTCCCAGAAGAGATCAGGGCCCTGCGAGACCTTTTACCATTCCGCAGGGCCTGCAAGACGGAGCTCTTCCGCCAGGCTTTTGAGTAGGAGCCGCCGCCACCACCACTACCACCACCGTGTAACTGCAGAGCAGTACCGCCGGGTTGGGCCGATGGGGCAACTGGAACATCGTGGCCCATGGCGTCCCCCTTCCTAACCTCCTCCTGATATGCAATGGGGAGTGTGTAATTACAGTCTTTCATGTATCCTGTGGTGAATTTTAACTTCAACTGTTTTAATCTGTTTTATCTCTATTGCACTTTGTGCCTTGTAAGCCGCCCTGAGCCTGCATGCGGGGAGGACGGGGTATAAATGAATTAAATAAATAATACACTTAAGTTGGTTTCTGGTATCAACTGAAGGAGCATCTATTAAATGTTTAGAATGAGCCTGACTGGTTACCAGCATAGTTAAGAGCAAAATTAAAGATGCTATATTCTAACCTGTAATGCCATCCATTACCCTGTCTTTGGATGTTTGCAGGAGTCCCTTCTTCCATATCTTTCTCTGCCCACTGAAATCAGTTTTGGAAATTTGCTGGTTGCTGATTGTCCCCAGATTATGGAACCAGTTTCTGTCAGAGGTTCCTAAGAGTTAAGACCTTGATGGTTTATAAGGAGGGCCTTGAAAAACCATCTGTTGGTTCTGATCTTTAGATATAGACTTGTTAACTGATTGATATATTCGGTCTTGGCATTTAAGGAGCTTAATGGTTTTATTTTCTACATCTAGCTTTATTTACAAAGAATACAAACCTTCAGGTTTAAGGCAAAACTTACTGTTTCTTGGTGTGGTTTGGAGTCACTCTATTTTCGAATGCCTGCAAGCCCAAGAGACCCCACCAGGGCACTAAAATGGGGAATGAGTGCACAGCGGAGTGACTGCCATCACTGCATTCAATCTGGGCTGATTAATATAGTTCCCCAGAAGGCCTGTGTGAATTGGCTGTAAGGTAGATGGTTCAATGGCTAGTGCTCTTAGCCAAAGGAAAAGATCATTGCTGAAGCTTTCAGTTTATTTTAAAGTTGCTGAGGAAGTTTTATGAGGAAAGGCTGAAGTGTCTAGAGGTTTATATAATTATGCATGGGGTGGAGGGAGTTAAGAAAGAAATTTTTCTCCTTCTCCCAAAATACTAGAACTCCAATGAAGCTGATGGCTTCAGGATGGACAAAAGGAAATACTACTTTGCACAGAGAGTGATTGAAATGTGGGATTTCACTGCCAGAGGAGGTAGTGATGGCCACATGAATAAACAGCTTTCAAAAGGGATTAGAACAGGTACAGTTGGCCAAATGCCGAGTCTGACAGACAGCCTGAAGAAATATTTTTTGGCTTCTGCTCCCTCCTTTGTTAAGGAAGTCATGCCAGTGACAGTGTTGCTTATGCTGCACTGGTCTTTTTTGCTCCATATTCTGAACTGCCATGCTGGAAATGTCTTTTAAATAAATGTTATCATGCATCAAAGCAAAAAAAAGGTTGTAGGCACCAGCAGGCTGTATTCTAAGATACCTGGCTTGTCTCTGATGTGGCATTTTCTTCCCTTGTAGGATCACTAGTGGATAAGAGAGGGAAGATCCTGATTCCTGGTCTCCAGGGGATGGTGGCTTCCCTCACTGAGGAGGAGCAACAACTTTACGATCGAATTGACTTTGATCTGAGGGAGTATGCGGAAGACATTGGAGCCACACGACTGCTGCACGAAACCAAGGTGTGATACTTTCCCATCCTTTGGCTCTGGTTCCTCCAGCTGTAAAAGATCAGTTTGGTTGGAGAAGGAAAGAGAGCAATATGACTGGAAAGGGTATGGTCACAATCACCATCTGAAAGGTATTACTGAGGCCCGTATGCTGCTTGGGCGACAGTTGGTGCTCTGTTAATCCCAAAGAACAGAAGGTGCAAAGGTGGGGGAATCTATTTCTTATTGCACCCTTTTAGGTTGGTATGTTTACAGCTACCTAGTTCATTCTGCCTGTAGAGTGAACACTCAAGACTGACTTCACCATCTACTCTCATATTTTCATCCCCCCCCCCCCCCCCAGAAAGACATCTTGATGCACAGGTGGCGATACCCATCCTTATCCCTCCATGGAATAGAAGGAGCTTTCTCAGGATCCGGTGCCAAAACTGTGATTCCACGAAAAGTTATTGGCAAATTTTCCATAAGACTAGTGCCAGACATGACTCCGGAAGCTGTGAACAAGCAGGTGTGTGTGGGTTGAGAGGGGTGTGTGTGTGTGCTTGGGGTGGGGGGATTGTTTAAATCTTTCTGGTTGAGCTGTCTAGATCAAGCAGCCACCATTTTTCCTTCTTGGGGGTAAGAGATATGGCAGAGTTCTGCACTGGTATGAATTTTTCAAATGGCAGAATCTTATAAGTGAATTATCATTACATCTTAACCAGATGCCGATAAAGCTTAGCAGTTGTTGAACCTGTGTTCCATGTAGTGAGAATGCAAAAGAAGGTGATTAGAAGTTAAATTGAAGCTGCGTGGCAGAAGATAATGCATACAATCTCCTAAATAGAATTATCTTCCACTCTCAGATGTCACTAAGTATTCTTCATGTACTGAGAAGCTCTTTTATTTTCACAAGACTTCTCATATTTGTGAGCTGCAGTCCTCAGATAGCTTTGTAACATAAGAACATAAGAGAAGCCAATGTTGGATCAGGCCAATGGCCCATCCAGTCCAACACTCTGTCACACAGTGGCCAAAAATCCCGGGTGCCACCAGGAGGCCCGCTAGTGGGGCCAGGACACTAGAAGCCCCCCCCCCCCAAGCACCCAAGAATACAGAGCATAATTTGCCCCAGACCGAAAGTTCCTATCTATACCTTGTGGCTAATAGCCACTAATGCACCTCTGTTCCAAGCTGTTTATCCAGTTCAGAACAGTGTTCTGAAATTAAATCTGTAAAGTTTTTGACTTACAAAAATACAAATGCTCATTAGTTTTAGAGCACTATTGTAGTAGCACAGCCTGCTGCTTAATATTGGTTGGGCGGGGTGGAGGGAATGAAAATGGAACACATGAAGTTCCTGCTCTGTGTCCTGGCAGGACTTGTGCAAACAGATCTTTGCCTTTTCCAGTGGCCCCCCCCCCCCAACCATCATCCCAGCCCACAAGCATGCTAAAATGGAGTACTCGATTTCCATGGGATTAGGTATCCTGCTTTGGAAAAAGTTTGATCTGTAAAACATGGGAAGCTTAATCAAAAAATGGAGAGGAAGTGTAGTGTTTTAGGTGGAAACGTGTTACTTCTTTGGCTGTCTAAAGAAGGATGTGTGCCCAAGCACTGGACATCAGTTTAGTTCTAGCTCTGTTGTATTAACTGGTCATGCCTTTTTATTGTTAAAGGTTCAGGATTACTTGTCCAAAAAGTTTGCTGAATTGCACAGCCCCAATAAATTCAAAGTCTCTCTGGGCCATGGTGGAAAACCCTGGGTATCAGATTTCAACCATCCCCACTACATGGCTGGGAGAAAAGCCATGAAAACAGGTAAGTAAATCTTGTATGGAATCAGTCTCAATCTGACTGGCCTTAGTGGAAAGATGCTCAATTTACTAGATTGCATCCACCAGCACTATTAAAGAGGCCCATTTGCCAGGCTGCGCAAGAGGCCTTGATTCCATCTCTGCCATTGTCCGGCATGGGTTTATAGTGTATTACGATGGTCTGTCAGTTAGGAAACTGCTTTCCATATTTTTCTTCCACATATCACATATCAAGAGCGGTCATATCAGCAGTGGATTTATACTGTTTCCACTTGAATTAGGTTGGTTTTCCTTCTTTAAAATGAACTCCTAAAGTAGGTAGCTAGATTAGGCTGATTTATGATACTTTCAAGCACTTACCCTAGTAGTCCTGGCATCTTCAGTCACTCTTGTGGACCCCTTCATACTTATCCTTCAACCTTTGTAGAGGCACGGCTTCAAGAGCTGTTGCCTTTTCAGCACCATCTTTCATTATGGTGCCCCAAGCAGCTGCATGTGTGGTCTGTGTGGAGAACCAGCCCTTCGAAAGCAGTCATTTAGTAAAGGACAAGAAATGGGGACCCACAATTCTCACGGGGGAGTATTTCCCGCGGCTCCCCCACTGAAGCAGCAGGAGCTTCACATGGAGGGAGGAAGCGGCCATAAGTCAGCCCAGCAGGCAGGGGGCCCGCCAAGCCTTCTCCCCCACCCCACCCCACAATGACTGTGAGGCACAGTTCCCAGTGCGTTCTCTGCACATGCACAGGGAAGGCTCTTTTACTTTTGGGGGGATTTAAGTATCCCCCGTATAGTTTTTTCTACATTTCAGATTTTTCTGCACACCTGGGGAGTGTCCCAATTGTGCAGGAAATCTGTTTGACCTCCAGGTGCTCCCGATGTGTGGATTTAGATATCCGCACAGAGGGGGCATCTTGGCTATTAGATATATGGATATAGCTGCTTAAGAAGCAAATGATTTCAGATGGAGAATGGATATGCGAGGAAAGTTGTGTTTAACAGTTGCAGCTTGAGCAGCATTAGACCCTTCTAAGACTGCAGCTGTCAATGGTGTAACTTGACTTAGATTAACACTATACGATGGGCTAGCACTAGTAATGCCCTTGTGTTTCAGCTCTGCTAGAGGTGTAGAGGAGCACAAAGAGGCCAAAATTATCCTGAAGATTGTGTATTTATGTAGCTTTCAGTTCATTAGAAAAGAGAAATTGACAGATGGGGGATTGTTGAAAGGCATTGGTAATCTAGCTGTGACAATGGGAGATTTGTGAATGGATCCTTTGCTTTTTTCTAAACTGTAAGGATTGTTTGTCCCACAGGACAGCTATACATGTGGCACATAAGTACAGTTTTCACACGGGGGGGGGGGCAAAGAGCCCATGAGGGGCCATGGAGAGGGGCCATGACTCAATGGTAGAGCCTCTGTTTGGCATACAGAAGATCCTAGGTTCAATCCCTGGCATCTCCAGTTAAAGGATCAGATAGTAGGTGAAAGATATCTACGTAACCCCCTGGAGAGCCTACATGTCTGAGTAGACAGTACTGACTTAGATGGACCAATGGTCTGATTCAATATAAGGCAGCTTCCTGTGATATGATGATTCAGATCCTTCCGTACTTTTTGTGAAAGACACCCACCACCCCATGTTGTGGCCACTCTCTGAATTGGAGCCCTGTGTGACTGTACTTCAGAGCTTAAAAACAGTGAGAGATCCATTAATACTTAATTTGGCCTTTAAGGGAACTGGCCTTACCCCCACCCATCAGTCAGTTTCTCACTTCAGATGAATATCCTTAAGTTTCAACAGATGCATGGTATGGAAAGGGGGGGGAAATTCCTTTCTCTTTTCTTCTCCCTGCCCCCTCCAAGTATTTGGCGTGGAGCCAGACTTGACCAGAGAAGGTGGGAGCATTCCTGTCACGCTAACCTTCCAAGAAGCAACCGGCAAGAACGTAATGCTGCTGCCTGTTGGATCTGCAGATGATGGAGCCCATTCTCAGAATGAGAAACTCAACAGGTAAGGGACACTTAAAGGATCTGTAGAAGCTTTTAAGCTGTAGACCTAAAATGGGCCGCTCAGAATAGTGGCTCTGCTCCTATCTTGAAATCTGGTTGTTGCATGAACACATACCCTGTTTCCAGTTTATGCTGGCTTTGGTGGAATCTGTTCACTTTTCTTGGTTTAACATATTAATATCAACATTTTATCTCCTCTACAGGTACAACTATATTCAAGGTGTCAAACTGTTGGGTGCATACCTATACGAAGTTGCCCAGCTCAAGGACTGAATCTGAATGTTGGTCTTGCAAATGAAAGTTGCTGGTGGGGGACCTGCAAGTTCTCGCAACATACTTCCTTGCAACTTTAAAAAAACTGCACTAATTTTCTTCCCCCCTCTTTGTTACCAGACTAACTCATGCAGAGACGCCTGGCAAAATATTTTTGAATTCCATGTTGAACATCTTGTATAGATGGATCTTTGGCCCAAATTAAAGTTCTATTCCAGGCAGTTACTGCTGTACTGCCAAGCCCTAACTATTGTTCCAGGGTGGGAGTGGGTGATACACAGATGGGGAAAGCTGTCTATGGAAAGGCCCTGTTTTCCCAACCACTGTATGCGTAAGCCAGCAGCAAGTGATTTATTAATGCCCTATCAGCGTCTCCATTGGTTTTCTGCAATCGTCTCCTAGATCTTATACAGTTCCTTTCCCCAGAATCTGTGGCAAATCCACACCTCTTTCTGGGCAAGAGCTGTGCTTGTTTTAACAAGATCAGAGAAGGCAACAAAGTCCTCCTTGGAATGTTTTGGAATTGGAAGGTGGGAAGTGGGTGAAGAGGAGGCGTCTCCAGTCCCTCCCACCCAGCCAGCCACTAAGCTCTTGCTGTGACTCTTGGCAGTCTCTGCGGATGTTGTTGACATTGCACACTCCAGGTTATTCGTAACATACTGGTATTTTTCTAGAGCATTCTTTGTACTCCCAAGTGAAAAGCTGCTAAATAATAATTAAAAGAAATCTGGTTCTACCAACTTTGTGGTAACTGTCTTGTTAGAAAATGGAAGTAATTGGTGGTTGGTAGGGCAATTAGGAATTTTTCAGGTGTGATTAAATGAGGCTTTTAAAATGTGTCCCAGGAGGTCAAGGCTGTAATATTGCATTGGGGGGGGGGGGGGAGAAGGATGGGAGCAGATCCCTGACAGCATGCTCAAATTTGCTTTTTACAACAGCTCCCTCCATGTGGAACAATGTCTAGTGGCAGAGTTCTCTAACTCTCTCTCATGCTTTCTTTGCATAGGGGTGATCTGGAACCCTTGGGAGAAAGACAGACTGATTGGGCAGCCTAAAGAGGATTAGTTTGGAGCTGTAGGAGGCAACAAATAGGAAGGGTAGAACAATAGGTGGCCTGATCCTTCCTGTGATATTTTGGCATGCAAGTGCCAGAGCAGCCATATTTCTTAACTGTTGAGAGTCAGGTGGGTGTTGGGTGTGTATCTGTGGAGAAATGGTCTCTCAGAGATATTTGGCTAATGAGAGCAGGTATATTTAAAGGGTGGGGGGAGGGTTTTTTTGGTAAAAGAATTTTTATTTTCATGGAAATAACCTCTTACAATTAAAAAACTGTTGTCATTCTTAAACCAATACCTATATTCCCATATCCCCCCTCCCTTCTAGTGGCTTCCCACAATGTTTCCCCCTTTGACCCTCCAGTACATCTTAAGATAACATCAATTAACCTCAATATTGTTCTAAACATAGTAAATTGTGCTTCGCATCCCAGTTTTTTTCTAAGTAAAGTTTAAAGTCCTTCCATTCTTCAAAAAAGTCAAGGTCTTCCTTGTTATTCAGTTTCTTCGTAATTTTATCCATCTCTGCAAGGGTGGGGGGAGTTTAAGCAGCTGTTTGTACTGCTGAATTACCAAGGAAGCTCCCTGCCTCCAGGAGATGGATTTGCATGCTGTGACATACTAGAGCCCCAAATCAAAACCCCCGTGCGTAATTCACATTGATCTCTCTAAATGATACACTAAAATATCAAAATGCTAGCCACCATACAATTGACTGAGATAACAAATGGCAGTTTGCTCCTTCTGTGGCATGGGTTTAATTTAGTTTAATGAACCCATTAAACTAAATTAAATAGGCCAAAATTGACTTTAATCTGAAGCCAATGTCAATCCAGGTTCTGAATAGAGGCTCTTTGAGTATTTATTACGAAGATGAAAGCAGATCACCAAGAATATATCTCAACATGTTTTAAAAGATACAGTGGTATACTCTGACTGAAAATCTGTAACTGAAAAATATTAATATTGACCACAGTTCAACAAACCTGCCTGTTCCAAGTTTTGCCTGTCTCATGCATCTACAATAGTATATCCATTTTGTTGATTGTTAGTTTCTGGAACTTAGTAAGCCAATGGTTGGATTTCTGCTTGTTTCCAACATATAAACTTGCTGCTAACAATAAACTAAGAATCAGTTCTAAATCCTTCACTTCCATATACCATAACGATATGGTTTTTGGATTAATTGACAGTTGGTATCCAGTTAGAAAAGAACTGGCAACCTGAAAAAAAGAATTGGAGGGGGGGCCAAAAACATTAAGCAACTGGAAAATGTACTAAATCTATCTCTGGGGAGCCACATCTTCCATGTGATATCCATATACTTTCTCCAAATTATTAGGGGTTAAATATTATTGTGGAAGCAGCTTGCCTCAAAGAAAACACACATAGCTGTGTGAAAAAGCCATAAACTGCTCATGTTGTGTGTTCAAACACTACTATGGAAACACAGGGAAAGCAGAAACATTTTGGATCCAGCTACAAGCCCTGAAAATCAGTGGTGCATAACATTGTAGGATTAAGCAACAAAGCATAGCAAGCTTTAGACACAATCTCCAAAAGTTAGAACTAATCCAAGGGGAGAGAGGATGCTAAGGTTGCACGGTAACACTACATCTCTTTAGACTACTTAGTTAATCTCGGGGTTTATTTTTCTAGTCTGTACTCCAATGCATGCCTGCTTCGTTTGTGTTGGTTCCTTTTGTGTAAAATGTACCTTTGTTAACAAAAAGGGATAAAGAGGGTTTAATGGGAGTGTTTATATTTGCACCTTTTTGCTTCCAATCACTATGCTGGACCATAGATAACACGTAAGCCAAGGATGCTAAGGCACATTCCTCTATTGCCACCCACTTCTGGTCCCTGTGTTGGTGCCAGATTGACACCAGTACAGCCTCAGTGGGGTGCTATGCCATATTCCCTCTAAGCTGTGGAGTCTTGTGAGCAAAAATTCTACTTTGTGAGCTACTGGCATTCAGGCTGTGAGTGAGCAATTTGGCTACTGCATGAATTAGTTTGCTCCGGAGCCATCCTTCCTGAGCTGGGACAAAAATGTGTGAGCCAGAGGCTAGAAAACTGTGAGCTAGCTCACACTAACTCAGCTTAGAGGGAACACTGGTGCTATGCCATGTTACCTGGGAACCCTGGAAAGTAGGCATCCAAACCTCTGCCCCAGAACCATATCAGAACATGCTCTAAAGAATTAAAGGCTACAGCTGAGATTAAAGATTTCCTGGTTTAAAAGGAGATGAGAGAGCTTGGTAAACTACAGTTACACTGGAGATTGTCTATTCCTGGAAGTTTCTTTGTGTAAGCCATCAGGGAGCAAGAGATAAGGTAAGTGATTTGTAGTTAAACTGGCCAGAAGCAGTAGTTTGTTCTTGGACGGTGTGTGTGTGTCTCTCTGCACAAATATGTGAGAAACTGGGATGCAGTTGGTGCTGATAACTAGAATGCAGAAGAGGAGCTATTGCTTGAAGCAATATGCAAAGACATGAGGAAGGTGAAGTCATTAGGAAGTAATAAATTTTGATTTAAACGTTTGGTAATGATTTGTGGCCAGCTATCTAAAGATCGAGATGGGTAGCCACTTCATGAGAGGAGCATGATTTCAGGAAGGTGGTACAACTGGCCTTTAGACTTGTTCGTTGAAAGCAACAGAAATGCTTCCTAGAATTCAGTAACATCCTAGAATGTGAAAAATTCAGTGGCACACCCTACCAAGAAACCAGGGTTATTTCTTTGCTCTCCAACATAGCAGGAGCAAAGCTAGACTTGACCATTGGTGTCTTGTCTGCTTCCTTCATGTCATCCCTATGAAGACCCAACTGACTTGTGGTGTTTGCCACTGAAGCGTATGATTGGTCATCTTGTAGCTCTCAGGTGGGTAGTATTGATGTTCATGAGTGAGAGTATATAACATGTTTGTGAATGCTTTTTTTAAAAAAAGAAAAAGGTATTGTTGAAACAATGTGCTACTGTGCTCGATAAAACTGGCTTGATTTGTTAATCTAACCTAATAGCCTCCATGGATGTGCTTGATACCACTAGAATCCTGAAAAGAACTCTGAATACTGAGCGGAGTGTAACAGCTGGCATGCCTCCGTGTGGTTAGCATATTGCATCTGGATCTGAAGACTTGGGTTAAAATCCCTACTTTGCCATAACATTTGCTGCTTCGCTTTAGGCCACTCAGCCTAACTGACCGCCGTCATTGTGAGGATAAAATAGAGGACCACAAAGTAAGCTGCCCTGAGCTCCTCCAAGGAAGGGCATGATAAAATGTACATGATACATTTAGAGCACTTCTGTAACACCTCTTAAGGAGCCTGGTTAAGGCAGCTTACGAGTAAAACACGATAGAAACACCAAAGAGATAAAAACAGTTAAAAATTAACAAGCTGTTGACATGGCATTAAATAAAACCCAGCCAGAGCATAAGCATGGCATAAAACAAGTGTTCTGTTTGAAAGCCTCATAGAACAGGCTAGTGCAGACTAAAAAAAAATAAATTAAGCCCTAATTAAAATCCTAGGTGAAAAGGAATGTTTCCAGCTTCATGGAGGAGGGCATGAAAAGACCTGCTGTTAGACACTACCCACCTCACCTCTGTAGCCACCGAGAGTGTGGCCTGTGAGAAGGATCTTAACTGGCAGGCTTGGATGGTATAGGGAAGAGGTTTTTCAAGTACCTCAGTCCCAAGCCGCTTAGGGCTATATAGGTAACCCCTCCACCCACACACACACTTTTATTGTTCCTGGAAACAAATGGGCAGCTAGTGCAGACTTCAGTAAAGGGTGAGGCAGTCCCTGTATCCCATCCCTGAGGCAGTAGTCTGGCTGCCACATATTGGACCCCCACCCTCGAATTTTCCAGTTTTCGAAGGCAGCCCACATACTGCCTTACAATAACCTAGTATGGATGCAATCAGAGCCTGGATCCCTGTGACCAGACCATGCTCCTTAAGGAAGGGCTGTAGCTGGCATATCATCCAAAGCTGGCAAAAGGCACTACATGCCACTGAAAAGGCACCTGAAGCTGCCTTCTACTGAATCAGACCCTTGGTCTATCAACAGATCGAGATGGGTAGCCATGTTAGTCTTGTCTGTAGGAGGAGAAAAGAACAAGGGTCCAGTAGCACCTTAAAGACTAATGAAATTTGTGGCAGGGTAGGAGCTTTCGCGAGCAGTGATTAGTCCATCAATCTCAGTGTTACCTACCCAGACGGGCAGCAGTTCTCCAGGGTCTCAGGTAGAGGTCTTTCACATTACCTACTACTACGTCTTTTAGACTATAAGTGCTGGGGATTGAACCTGGGACCTTCTGTGTGCCAAGCAGATGCTCTGCCACTGAGCTATGGCCCGTCCCTTTTTAAAGGTTTGCATTTCGTGATCTGTAGAGCAAGTTCTGATTTGTGACTCCCTTTCCCCAATCTGTTGGCAGTTCAGTGGTGGAATCAGTTGCCCAGGGATTAATTTTATTTATTTATTTACTTCATTCATACCCCGCCATTCTCCCCAATGGAGATCCAAGGTGGCTTACATAGTTCTCTCCGCCATTTGATCCTCACAACCACTCTATGGGGTTGGTTAGGCTGAGAGAGTGTGACTGGCCCAAGGTTACCCAGCTAGCTTCCATGGCAGAGTGGGGGTTCAAACTTGGTTCTCTCAGATCCTATTCTGGCACTCTAACCACTACACCCCA